TACAGGGGGAACGCCATCAAGTCCTACGATGGCCGATCAGACCCCCAGGAGCACTTCAGCCGCTATCAAAACAACATGCTGATGGTGAACGCGTCCGACGAATACCTCTGCCGTTGGTTCCTCTCTACTCTCGAGGGGCCAGCGTACGAGTGGTTCAACGGACTGCCAGAGGGAGGCATCGACTCATGGCAAGATCTCGCCCAGCGCTTCCTCACTCACTTTGCCGGGAGGAAGCGCGCCAAGAAGTATTTCACCCACCTCCTCTCCGTCAAACAGCAGCACGAGGAGTCCCTCCGGTCATTCATCGACCGGTGGACGAGGGAGACCGAGGAGGTCGAGGGGGCCGATGAGCGCACCCTCCTCGCCTTGTACCAGGGAGCCCTCCGCAGCTCCCCGTACGCCAGGAGCCTCATCACCGACCCCCCGAGGTCATACGCCAAGGCACTCCAACGCGGAGGCTTGTATACCGACGCCGACGAGCTCCACAATCACAAGAGAGAGGGGGGCCATCCCCCCAAGAAGACAAATCCTTCGCCGGCCTCGGGTCCGTCCCCGGCCGGCCAGGGTGCCCAGGGCCGCCACGGCTCTGGTGGACAAAGTAAGAAAGACCGCCACTGGCGGCCGAGGCTGGAACGGCCGGGGGTAGCCCTCACCCACCCGGTCGGCACCATCCTCGATTATGCCGAGAAGCATGGCTTCATCGAGCAGGCTTGAAGTTGTCTTCATATGATTTGTAGCCCTTGAAGTTGTCTTTCATATACAACTTGAATCATGTCCATTAGTTGTTTCTAAAACGAGATATTCTTGAATGATTGACAGAAGGTCATCCTGATCGTCGTTTTCAAGCTTCATTCATCTTCTTTTGATCCCGAAGCCAATCCTAGAGCTCTTTTGTCATCAAATCTTCATTGTAAACCTCCCGCTGACCTCCGTAGCTCTCAAATCAATCTCAAATGCTTTTCAACTCATCCCGATTTCTCCTCAAGCGCTAGTGCCGAACTCTAAAATCCTGATTTTGACTCCAAATGACACAAAACTCGAACCAACGCCCGATAAACATAACTTGAGCTAAAATTGAGACTTGTAACACCTTAAAGCTAGGGAAAACCATCAAACCCGATCCCAACACGCATCAAATGCATTTCTAAATACGAACTTATCAAAAAACTTTAAAAGTCTATTCACCCCCCTCTAGACTTTTACCTCTATCCGGGACCATCAGCGTTTGATTCCATTTTAGGTCTTTGATATCTCTTAATGGTTTCTTGGTTCTGAATATGAAAACAGGGACGAGGATACCCAGTATTTTATCTTCTTTTCTTTGGTTCTACTAGTGTGTTTTATTAATTGATTATGATGTTATGGTATTTGATTTTTTTATATTTGTGATTTCAGATTAGCTATAACTACTCCATCATTAACTCGGAACTCCTTGACATGAAGAAGTAAGGCAGAATTTAAGTTCAACCCCTGTAATCAAAGATTATAAGTAAGTTCTCCTCTATTACATTGAAATGCATATATTTACATAGAAAAAGGGCATGTTAATTACTTAAGTGGTGGATACTCTATATAGTTTTGTTTTTTAGATGTAAGGACAGTGGTTAGATTAAAAAAGCACGTACACAAAACATAAGAACTAAAAGCATAAAAAAACAGGAGCATAAAACTATTTTCATTAGATAAATATTGAGTCAATACATCTATGTGTGCTCTCTTTATCAGATTTGTATTGAGTTTATGAATAAGAAAAGAAGATATTCGAATAGAGAGTTTGGTCATTTTGTTATGTAAAGATGGCAAACGTGTGTCACTAATAAGTACACTGTTTTATGCTATTCTTTAATATTATGAGAAGAGGCTTTCCTGTCTCAAATGCTTTGCTGTTGTTGTTGCCAGTAAACTCTTTTCTATTTATGTTAAAAAATAACTTACTCTTAATTTTGTAAGAAATCTTAGTAGCATGGAAATGTTTTTTTTTTCAAAAATAAGGGTTACATTTAAAATTTAAAGTTGTTGCTTTGTGAGGTCACCCTATGAATGTTATTTCAAGGAAGAAACTGAATTGGGCAACAACATTATGCATATGTATTTATCAAAGCAGTGCCATCCTCCTCTTGTAGCCACTACTCAAATATGGAATCTAAACATAATAGGACACATGTAATGTATAATTATCCTAGTTGGGAAATGTGCAGTAGCTAGAGAAAGGCAAACTTTTCACCAATTTTCCCTGGACTGCATAATTTACTTTCACTTTAAGATAGATGAAAACTGAATGGCAACACCAAATACAAACTTATTGTTAAAAGACAAAGAGTAGACACTTCAATTTATAACTTTTTTAGTGAAAGATGGTGGCTCTTTTACTGCAAAGAAGAAAAGTTTGGCTCAGAGTACGAGTGGAACAGATTTTTCGCAGTGCAGTATGCGCACAGTAGCATTTAGTGAATTGGGTTATTAGTTTGTTTTCCTCAACATGTTTCAAAATTTGAGCACCACAATATTAACAATATTTCCTATATGAATTTCAATGTAGGCAATTAAGTTCAGTAGTAATAAAATATGGTGTGATGTTTTATTGTACTAATATACAAAATTACATTCTTTTATTTTACCTTTACAGAAGAGAGAGCTATTTCAAGATCTCGCCCCATTACTATGGAATTCATTTGGTACTATTGCTGCACTATTGCATGTATTGTCCACATACTTCCCCTATTGCAGATATTGTTTCATATGGCTGAGTTAATTTAAATTTTTGCAAAAATAAATGAGTTGCATTTGAATGATCAAAACATATTAGTCACAAGTTTTCTTCCAGATTGTTCTCAAATCTCACATCCGGACCTACCCGTATTATTGCTTATTTTGAGTCTCTTTCTCTTTTATTCACATGCGCCTATGTGTATACTTTAGAAACACAACCAAAAACAGGTTGATTTTTGTGAGTAACAGGTTGATTTTATAATTCTTATATTGCATGACCATTTAATACTTCAATCTAATTTTCTCATGGTTTAAACAGGTGGATCTTTTACTTTTAATACGAATACTGCATGTGGAAAAAGGAGAGCGAGAAATATTGTTGGTGATGATAGTGAGAACGAAATAGAGTTTTATGACAGAATTGTTAGAGAAAGTAATGGTAAGAGGATGGCGTTAATAATTATTTTTATTTATAGTTATTTTTTCTTAATTCGTTTAATACTTTAAACTAATTTTGGATTATGCTAGTGAATCGGAGGTAGATCCGACATTTCCTCAAGATCCAATTGGTAATACTATCTATTTCATTTATAATAAATGGCTTATATTTAATTTTTCTCTTACTGTTTTAGTACTTCAATTCATACTTATGCACTAGTAATAAGATAATATTAAGTAACTAAGGAAGTTTTGTCGGGTATAACTCTGGTTTCCTCTCTGCAGTCCTATCTGCACTAGTATAACTCTGTTTAGTAACAAGGTCTTTATGTTTTGCAGTAAGAAATTCGTGAGACAATGGCAAAAAATCCTTCACCTTCTAATGTTGAGGTATATTTTTCCATTTCTGCCTAGCATATTGATTTCACAAGCTGGACATTGTATGCATTGTTTTTAAGTGGTGCAGCCAAAATTCAATTCATATGTGATATTCTGCTTGTAGATGATCAGAAAAATAACAGTGTGTTGTTGAAATTATTGTATGATTCTTTTTGGTTTCCTCCATATTGAGGTGAGAAAAAGTACATCTAAAATCTGAAATATAATCCTCAGGGTTGTTCTCTCGAAGTGGAAGAAGTGTTTTCTCTTGAACAAAAGGGAGAATGATGCTACTATGAAGATCGACTTGATGATGTGTGAAGACATTGTATACTTACAAATTGTTATCAACATTGTTCGATTAATTTTGCTATATGTATGTAGGACGTATAGGCGGCTCACTTTGGTGTTGAATGTTGGATTTTTTGTCATGTTTTTTCCATTAGAACATTTTCTGGGTTTGCATACCTTAGAATATATGCAAACTTCAACAACAATGTAGCCTTGAGCTTTAAATGAATATTATGCTTTAAACGTTGAATCCATGTTTTGAGATTTATTTATTTTATTATCATTTATGGGATTAGTTAATATTGAATTGGAATTTTTAAAATATAATTGAAATGAATTTTTTAAATACCGCAGTGTCACTAGAATATGTGATGTAAAAGTGTCGCTGAATAGTTATGTCACTAGAGTATATGATGTACAAGTGTCGCTGAATAGCTATGTCGCCAATGTGTCACTATACTGTGATATCGTAGTGTCACAATTCTGTGACACTTGTAGTGACACTTAAAAAGTGTCACTTGTAGTGTCACTAGCCCCCACTTTCAACGAGACTTTTTTAGTGTCACAGAAACTTTCAGTGACACTAATTTGATGTCACTATCAGGCATTTTTCTAGTAGTGTACAACCACATTTTGGAAGATGTTGTGACCGAAATTTATGCTCAAATGGATCTATTACCATTTGGTGAGGAAGATGAAATTCAGACAGACCTCTTCAAAAGTGAGGATATGCAATTTCAAGAAGATGAAACTCAGGCACACCTCTTCAACATGGGGTATCACATCCTTCTGTTACTACTAATATGCTTTTTTCTTTCAAAAAATTATAATGGTAGCCATCTTAAGTGTGAAATGGGATTCCAAACCATTTCTTAATCTCTAAATGTAGCATACCACATATGAATTTTTTTTACATTTCAGCAACCACTTAGCTACCAAACCAAAGAAGGGGGGAAATGAAATTAAAAGTCTCCAAGTGCAGTAAACCCCACAGCAAGTTACCTAGAACACTTCACATGGACATTTCAGCAAACACATTGTAATAAAAGAAAACAAAGGGATACAAAGAAATAAACAAAGAATTAAAAGACAGGGATGGGAAGAAGTACAATTGCAAACACATGGCAATTAAAATCCAACAAAGAATACGTAAACAATCGACACGATCAAGGAAAAGAAAATATGGTAATTTAGGAATGAATTGAATTTAAATGTAAAGGAAATATTTAATTAATTAGGAGAGAATGAAGAGCTTACAAAGGGATGCCAATAATTCCAAAATCTGTTCAATACAAGGTGGCAAATATATATAGGTGGATCCGTTCACAAAAATTGTTGTGTGCCAGATTTTCTTGAACGGAAAAAGAAGAAGAGGGAGGGGGCGCACAGGACTAGGAGGAAAGGAATGTTTAAACCGAATTGGTTTTATGTTGTTCCAGAATTCTGAAGTGAAGGAGCGAGCCTTCTGCCTGGTAGAACACCCAATTCGCCTAGTTGAAGAAAAGGCTTCCAGCACCTGGGTCGTGAGTTCTGAATCTACACGCGTTCTCAGAGCCATCTCCTCAAAGTGTAGTTGTCGGTCCATGGTCGTCGTTCCTTGCTTTCAGGGAAATCCCATTGCACAGTTTGTGTCCCCTCGCGCTCTGCTCTGCTTTTTTGCCTAACACACGGTCGATTGAAGCTCCATAGCTTGTCAGATGACCTCCCTTCTAGATGACGATTTCAGTCATTGAATTGGCGACAAAAACCAGTGAGTGGTTAGGTGGTTCCCGTCGATTCCAACCATTGAACCACCTTCGCTCTGCCCAAGTCGCCGATCTCCTCCAACGTGGATGCCATCTCCCTGTGTACGAATTGAGCGTCCTCTTGGCCCGCCAGAGATCTCCTCTTTTGAGCCGATGAAGGGGTCCATCGATCTAGCTGCACCTTTGTGCCGCCCAAGCGCTCATGCTCTCCCACCGGAAAGCAATTTTTTAATGCTCATGCTCTCCCACTGGCAATGCTAACCTCGTTACCCGCTGCTTTGATGGCAAAGCTTAAAGATTCAACTCAATATGCCTACGGTACAATTAGCTTAGGCAGAGAGAGACGAACACTTTTTTGAAGACGATTATACCCTAACAATATTCATGCTTAAGAGATATAGGGGGATTTGGAATGAATTCTGTTTCGACTTGTTTTCAAAAGCTAATCTCCATCAGGTTCTAAAACATATATGTTTATGTTCTGCGAAGGAGCAGTTTTAACAAGTAGATCCAATTACCTGTAATCATCATATCTCCATCTCTCTCCTATACCACATATAATAGACTTCATTGGACTACACTATCCCATTGGAGTTGTGGTAATAACTTAAGGAAAAAAACACAAATAGTACCTCTAGCTTTGGGAAATGCTACCTTCGTCCCTTAAAACTTTGCTAAGTTTGACCGACACGAGAATTAATAAAGTAAAAATTATGTGGTTGAGTTTTGTTGAGAGGAGAGAAATTAACTAAAGTCACAAATTCTTTACTAAAAAGAGAAAGTGACAAACATAGTGAGATAACCAAAAAGGGAAATATGGCAAAGTTTAAGGGACAGAGGGAGTACAAAAAGTAACTAGTTTTATTTTTCAAAGATATAGTTATGTTTTTGTTTACTTAATCCATTTTTTCTTATTTGTAATTTATATGCAACCTCTGCCCCAGTCCACACATGCCGGCCGCTACTGGAAACCGCCTTCATAAAATTATGATGTTTTTTTACACTTTTTCTAAATTTCACCTAAAAAGATCACATTCGTTAGTGACATAACAATCACAGTGATATAAAAACATTACAGTGATATCATGTTTATAAAAAAGTCACTCGTTCGCGCGTTGCACGGTTAGTTGTTATTCCTAAAAAATGGCTAAGAAACCATTTATAGAAATACATATTGTATATCGAGTGCATATTAATGTGATGGTTGAGAAAATCCTGAATTACACATTAATTAACGGACTAAATTTGAACGACCAAAATAAAGTAAACAAAGGGCATCTCTTTATTAAATTTGATGTACAATTAAACACGTTGTACCGGCCAATGAAATTACATAACATCTCGGAAATGTTTTAATTTATAAACCACTTTATTATCGACATAGTTTCTTTCCTTGAATGTTCGTCTTCATTTGAAACCAAAACTTTAAACCCCTTCCTATTGGTTATTCATGACACAACAAAATTAAAATGCTTGTGACTGAAAAAAGGATTTCTGAATAATAAATCAAAAAGCGATAATGAATGTTTTTACTTTTGTTTACATTCATATCATATTATGTCATTATTTGATATTGTCATTAACATGAAATCATAAGTTTCTAATGAAATTCAACAATAAAAGTATTAAGTACATTGAACTTTATAGTTCTTTATTTTAATTTTTTTAGATATTGTTTAATTTTGTTAAATTAATAATCTTAGATCATCAAAAGTAAGGGCTGAAATCAAAATATATTACGGAGTATATTTTAAGCCTTTAATTGATAGGACATAACACATTTCTCAAGATCAAAGTCTATTGAAAGAAAAATCTTTTTTACAAATGATCGGTCAAAGTAAACTTCATCAAATGAAATGATTATTATTTTTGTTATTTTTTTATGGTGCACCACTTTTGTAGTCACGTCAATCAAGAAATGAGAGATAAGAGATTTATGTAATAATAATTAAATCACTTTTTTTTTTCAAATTGAAATCTTGTAGAGAATATATATTGAGATATCATCCGAAATAGGACTAAAACAGTTTGAAAATTCCAAAATAGGACTGCCATGTTTTTATTCCCAAAATAGGACTCATTACTGCAATGTTTTGGCAGTACCAGACTTCAAACATATCAGTATTTTCTAAACATGACAGTAATTAGTCCTATTTTGGGAATAAAAAACATGACAGACCTATTTTAGAATTTTGAAACTATTTTAGTCCTATTTCGAGAACTTTCCCATATATATTTTATTTCTTTTTGGCGGGAGAATGCTTTTTTTTGTCATCCTTACGCAGGAGCCATGCTAATCTTCTCTGTATCGTTCCAATTTTATCGGATGTCTCCGAAGGGACGGAGGGAGAATGCTTCATCATGTTTTTTGGTTTCATATAATATTAAAAGATTATTAGACTTTTTGCATGTTTTTCAAGTCCTTTCACATGATTGGGATCAATATGTCTTTTCATATGGCTCATTGATGAAATAATTACTTCTTTTTTGTTCAACAATTAATCTCATTGAAAATATTAGGTATGTTTTTTTTTGAATTAGGCATTTTTAGAGGAGAATGTTCCATCACATTTCTTTTCGTTTTAGATATTAGAAAAAGTATTTTTTCTCAAACACTACTAACTTTTACTCCAGAACACTTTCTTTGTAATCACTTTTTTAAGTAATAATCGCAACAACTGCAATAGTATAGTTTATTTGTTATTTACTTATACGTACTTAATTTTTGTCAATGTGAAACTTTTGAGATGTCATGTAACATAGTGTTCTTTGATTTGATGTTGACCTTTTTGAGTGAAAACTTTTACTCCCTCCGTCCCATAATTAACTTCGGTTTTGACTGGGCACGAGAATTAAGATAGTGGGATTTGTGTGGTGGAGAGTTGTGCAGAGGAGAGAGAAATGTGTAAGAATGATTGTAAACCACATATTCTTTATCAAAAAAGGAAAGATGAGATAAATTTGGGACGGACCGAAAAGGAAAGAATGAAGATAATTTCGGGACGGAGGGAGTAGATATTAAGAGATACTCTCTCCGTACCATAAAATTATTTCCAGTTTGACATGGATCGAAGTTTAAGAAACTAGGAATAAAAAGAAAATGTATGATTGTGGTTGAGGCAAAAAATGTAAATGAGTCTTTGTCACACAAAACTTTCCAAAAAGGGAAATGAGAAGATTTTTTAGATGTTCCAAAATGATAAGTTGAAAGAATTTTACGTGACACAACAAGTATTATAATGTTGCTAACATTTTTATCCATGTATATATAGTCACTTTTTTTGGGAAATGAGCCTCAATTTATTCAAGAAAAATCAATTTAATATGACGAAGTTGCTGCGAAACCAAGAAAGCATCCACAAGTGTGAATCAATATATATATATATATATAGGAATATATATATATATATATATATATATATATATATATATATATATATAGGTTTTGGTTCAAATAAGAACATGATCTTATGAGAAAAATGAGAATGAATCTGGACCGTTAGATTTGCTTTATGTGAAATTCAATGTGCATTAGATGAAGTTGGCATGTGTAATAAGTGAAATTGAAATGTGCAACACAAAGGGTACGATGTTGTGGAATTATGTGAAGCTAAATTGTGCATTAGGTGAATTTGAAATGTGCATTAGATGAAACTAAAACGTGAAGAACAAAAGGTACGATGTGATGTTATTTTTGTACGCCTTATTCTGCACATTTCAGTTTCACCTAATGCACATGTGAGTTTAAATTCTTATTCTGCACATTTAAATATCGTCTATTGCACATTGCGGTTTCACCAAATGCACAATTTAGTTCCACATAATTCAATCCAACGGTCCAGATTCATTCCCATTTTTCTCCTAAGATCCGTTCTTACCGGAACCGCTCCCTATATATATAGTCACTTTTTCTAAAATGAGCTTCAATCTAATCCTGAAAAATCAATTTATTATGACGAAGTTGTAGCGAAAGCAAAAAGCATCCTCAAGTGAATCAATATATTATCCACCCCGTAAGTCTTTGATGATATCAACATTTTTATAAATCTTCTTCACAAATGGATAGTCAACAATGTCTCGTGTGTCATCCATCCCTTAGTCTATCTAGGACTGATGACTTGACTAATTATGGTATGTATGTTTAGCTTGAGCTCCATCTGTTTCCTTAAATGAAGAATAATTAATTGAACATCAATTAATTCTCTTTCAATTAAGGAAATAGATAAGCTCAAGCTAAAATGTATATAATATGCAATGTCCTAAAATGGGCTAGGCCGCTAAGCGGGCGCCTAGGTGGGGAGTCGCCGAAGACATATAAATTGTATTTTTATCAATATTTTTTGTATAAATATGAATAGTAATGTTGTGTTTTTGTGTGTGTATAAAAAATATATACACAAGTATACACATTAACATGTTTGAATGATAGAGTTGTCACATTTATTAATTAAATGTTTAATGCCTACTCACATTAGAGTTGTCAAATATGCACATGCCCAATATTATACTTACTTCATATGTGTTGTTACATCAAATGTACATATATCTCTTAAGATATTAAAATAAAAAAGCAAAAAAATGTTTGATGAAACTAGATGCCTAGGCGGCCGATAAAGTGCTCTTTACGGGCAACTAGGCACCCTAGGCGGCTGAATAATTCACCTAGTCGCCAAATATATTAGTCGGGGAGCCTAAACTAAAATCGTAGCGTCCGACCTCGCCTAACGCCTAGAGCAATTTTTTGAACAGTGATAATATGTAACTAATTTTTACCACAAAAAATAGAGTGAATGTAAAAATAGAGCAATTTGAAATCAAAACCCCGCCGGTGAATGTAACTCAACTGGTAGATAGGGGTTCCGCAAGGAGTAAGACTCGGGGTTGAATCCCGACAATTGTGATGAGTGGTTACTATCCAAAATTAGTTCTCAGAACATCGAGATAAGTGTAAAACTGCACATCTAGATTCAGCGCTTCAACTGAGCTTGAGGTCAACCGCGGCCTTACGGAGTCAAAGAATTAAAGAGAGTGTCACTGCTGCACATAGGGATGGGAAAACCCGAACCGAAACCCGGAAACCGGCCCTGGCCCACCCCGAATTATGATATCGGTCCGGGTTTTTTCTTTTTGACCGGCCCGAATAAAAAAAAACCGGACCGAATCCGAAATTTCGGGCTCTTTAACGGGCCCTAAAATCTATAACCCGGCCCGGACAGATAAAACCCGAAACAATTAGCCTTAATATAAAATCAATATAATATACAAATATAATTTACAAATTAATTCCTAATATATAATTATAATCATGATGGATGAAAAAATGACTTAATAACTTTTAGTGACTACAAATATGTTCAATTTATTTACCGTAATAACCATGAAAACATATTTATAGTAACTTTAGTCACATTTTTATCCATAAATTTTATTTCATAACATTTTTAGAACACCTATATTACTTATTTTTATGCATCTTAAACAAAATATTATAATTATAAAATCTATTTTTATTAATTTTATTTGCGGTTTGTACTTTGTATTATTTTTATTTGAAAATAGATTTTAAAATATAAAAAGAAAATGAGT